TCAGCCAGGGTCAACCCACCACAGGTGGTTACTGTGAATCATAAAGAACATGACTTATTACCAGAACATCTTTTTTATTGAAAAGGGCTTTGGAACATGAAAATGCATGTTGTAAAACGAAGTTAAGGACAGCTTTCATACTTTTCATGTCAGTACTTTGTATGGCAGTGACTTGAGGAAGATGTGATGTCAATTTGAATATGAAATTATATGCTTTGGCAGCGAGTAACTAGAAAGCAATTCATGTTGATTTATATTAGCAAAACTGTGGTATCGCTGGTGGGGGTATTTGTTTATTGTTGAAACTGTGTGAGGCACTCTGTTGTACCTCTTGTGTTAATGTATGGTCAGCTCTCTTCCTGTGAACTGAAACTAGCAGTTAAGTTGCAACAAAGTAGTTGTCCTAGTGTTTTTGACTTGTCATTCACTGTGAAATGAATGCTAAAATACATAGGGTCATGAGAGAAACTCTGGAAAAATATATTTTGGTGGCTCAGTAACTGAGGATGCAGAACAATTGCATGACTTACTGAGCAAATCTTTCTATGGCCTGAACTCAGAAGAGTGCAGTGAGTAGGTAATCATAGCTGGAATCATATTGCAAGTTCCTTCCCAGTGATCACAGTTCAGATGTGGAGAGTAGGAAAAAGAGGAGAAAAACATACAGTATTTCAGAGGATGTATAGGTACTGCTAACGATCAGCAGCCATGAATACATATAATTAGGGTGAGGATTACTGTTGAAATATGAGGACTTTTTTTTCTTTTTTTTAAGCTGTAGGAGTTAATTTTTAGCTTAAGAAGGATAAATAGATTAGAAATAAGTCAAACTGGAAATCTAGATGGGGTTCTTCTGGTATATTGAGGTTTTGTTCAGTGAACATGTAGATGGGAAGGGAATGGATGGGAAAAACACACAATTGCTGTATAAACTGGTAGTCCTGAAAAGATGTGTTCCACAGTCATGTTGGTGTGTTACATTGAAGGGCTGAGATGCAGCTGGCTTTCGCTTGTTAAATGCAAAATTATATTAAGTGAAAAATTACTGTCTTGTCTGAGTGTTTGGCTAGGAAAGAAGAGTAAATGGGTGAAGATATGGTAGAGTTGTGGACTGAGAAAGTATAAGGACTCTATATATCAAAACCATGAGGAAGCTGTCTTCACTTCCTGCAGTTTTTGTGCTGGTTGGACAGTGACAAGGAAAAGTTTGTGGAGCTGATCTGGTTGTCATAACAGATGAAATAACACTTAAATAAAGTTTATTTTTTGAAACCTAATTGCTTGTGTGTAATTTTAATTGTGCTGGTGAGGTGTGTGGGTTATTTTTTTGGTGTGTCTGTGATTTCTTTTTGGTATAATCTTTTGTGTGAGTGGTTGGGTTGTTCTGGTAGCTTGTACTGAGTTTGCTGCTTCAGGAGCACTAAAAAAAGCTTACCACTGCTTAGATGTGTAAGTCTGGTCAACCCTCTTGGGATCAAATAAAAAGCAGATATGAAATCTCTTCAGAAGTGCAACCGATGGCAGTTGGGATGATGATGTGAGCAAAGCAAGAAAAATACTCTTATAGTTTCTGTGTTTGTGGAAGAGAATGTGAGTTTGGTGGTGAAATGGTGAAAGAAGTAAATACGTTTACAATGCTGAAAACATATACATCTGTAAATCATGTGTGCATTAACTGAGAAAATGGCTGTGGCATTTATAGTAATGGTATTCAGATCAGGAGTAAGAGTTGACCTAAGATTTGTACATGTGAATTCTCTTATAAAGATGGTGTTTTAGATACAGTGTGTCCTGTACTGCAGGAGTGATAACTTCTTACATTCTTGCTATTCAGTGTGTTTTACCCCAGAAAGGGAGAAATCACATGAGTGAAAAGGAAAAGAGCCAGCTGAATTTTAATCTGAGAATCAGTCAGCTTCTGTAGTATAAACAGGTTAGCCATGTGCTCCTACTGCTGATGGCATGCTTTTTCTAATGTAGATGACATCCTTTTGAGGTTGTTTTATGTAACACAGCAAAAGGCATTTAACTAACCAGAGAACCAGTGTGGAGTTACCTGTGGCATTTCCTCAGTGCTGTGTATGTTCATACTTTGGGAATCACTTGCCTGACAAGATTTGTAGCTAATTAAGCAGGAAGCGTAATAGTAATTTTTTGAATTGGAAGCAACATTCCTGGAAAGAAGATATTCTTGAATTCAAAAGTTAGAGCAGGAAGGTCCAGGAAGTAAATGCAGCGTAGGTCTTGTGTTAGAAGTAAGGAGAAGCCAAAGGTTTCTATCGTATTATCAATGTTTTCTTGAAATATTAAAGTCCCTTTAATCACCCTAAAATACTCAACTTGGTCTGTCCAAAAGTGTATTTCTTTTGCATTTTTCAAAAATAAATTCCAAATGGCTAGCCGCAGAACTGGGTTTAAGCACTCTAGAATCTCTTTAAAATCATCTCCTCTAGTGGCTTCTTTTGTTGTTGTGGATCATTAAGCAGCTATATGTGGGCTGATTAACTAAAAATATCTATCTACTAAGAATCTGAAGAGGAGGCATGGAATCCCACAGTTCTAATCACATTGCCCTAAGGGTTTTGATCTCCTGCACACAAAGGAATAGCCTAGTTGTTACTGCATGGCAACAGTTAATACACTTCTGCTAGTGCTGTCAGCATTCCCGCTGACATCAGTGATATCTAAAGCAGTAAACAGAAAGCAGCCATGTCTGTTCTTCCTGTACTACGGGGAATCAAAATAAAATGCTAGTCAGATGGAGAGCAGCGAAGCTGGTAAGAAACTTTAAACTATTCAGAAAAGTTGTTTATGTAGCAAAGCAATGCTAAAAATGTTTAAATGTTTAGGTAAATACAGCACTGTGTTTTCAGATCTTTCTGGAGACAAGGATCCTATTTGCAACTTGTACAGCAATGCTTCAAAGTAATCTGGTGTTTTACAGGAAAGAAATTAACTGTATTACCTTTTTATTGAGGAGTCTCTTTGCTATAGTTAATTAAGAATGACTGTACAAGTTCTCAACAACTTGACTTTTTTTCTTAGAAAATAACAAAACTCCCTTAAAAATGGGAACTTCTAGATGCATTTTATTCTGAGTTATTGTTTTTAATAAAAACTGAGAAATTGAGTCCTGAGAGTTGCTGTAGTAATTTATAAATAAGGTCAATCTAAGGCATTGACTTATACCAGTCCTAGAATGAATGTGAATATTGTTGCAATTATTTTGTAAGTATTAATATCCGAGAGGGCATTCTAAAATGAGACTTCAGTGATTTCTAAAAGACTATTACAAGATTCATGTAGTAGGTTGAAAATAACTTCACTTCTTTAAAAGATGTTTTCATTCTCAGAGAACTTAAATCGGTTCTTGTAAACACAGAGGATGGTATTTAAAATGCCAGTCAAATCAAGCTATCTGGCATCAGAAACTCCTTTTGGGGGAGAAGAGTGCAAGGCCAAAAAGTGATACACACTTTAACTTTGTAAACTGCATACATATGTGAACATATCTCCCTCTAATGGGGGTTTGTGTTGTGATGTGAATGTTGATGTATCATGGAAGAAATGAATATTACTGTCCCTTCCCTTCCAGACAATCGAAGGAAAGTTGAACCACCTCTTGGAGGTCATGATCCTCGAACTGCAGTTCAGTTAAGAAGCCTCAGCACCGTTTTAAAGCGCCTCAAAGAAATTATGGAGGGGAAGAGCCAGGTACTTCTTCTGAGGGATTTGTAGGTGAAACTATCCAGAAACTGAGCTTTTACTAAGCTTCTCTGAGCTTCGTTTTTAAAAGCATCACAGGGGCTTTTTCAGATTTTTAAAGGATGAGTGAATAAACTAAAAAGTCATTGTGTGAGTGCAGGAGAAATTATTTAAGTTGATGCTGACTTTTGACATGTGAAACATCTGTCACATTGTGGTAGTGAAACATTACAACTGCTCGGCTTCTTGAACCTGGACCAGATGCTTTAATTTTAGACTCCTTCACACTTCTATATTACCCAATCTAGTATTACTTGATGGTTTTCTCCCTTGGAGGCTAACTGTGGGCTGGTGAAACACACTGATTGTCACAAATAGTAATGAGAATTCTGAGGATGAATTAAATCTGCTACTTACTGTGGTAATGATTGGTCAGCAATGTTTGCTTGAAAGGCTTATCCTTTTAATCAGTTTTGATTCAGCTGGATAAAGGTCTGGTGGTTGCTACTGACTTGCCAATTTCACCTCCCTCTGCTGTGTTGGACCATGCATTTTAAGAGGAGGATCTAGCTGAGAAAAGAAGCCACAACTATTTATAAGTGATGATATAAATAGCTGTGTCTGGGAGCAAGACATGAACAAGCAAAAGTACATTTTATTAAACTGAATGGAGAGGAAAAAGGCTTTTGGCTTGGTAGCTTTTACAGTAGACTGAGTAAACTCACTTAGCTCCCAGTTAATATGCTTGTAAGAGTAACTGCTTTGGTAGAAAGGGCAATATTTTTGAGGGTGAAACAAAAGCCTTTCATTGCAGTAAGCAGGGCATTGAGGGTTGCCCCACTAATGCTTCAGTTTGTGGCAGCTTCTGAAGGCCCTGGGGATTTTCAGACATCTTTGAAGCTATTGGAGAACTGTTCAAACAGACAGGATGCAGCAGTAAATGAATATGACTAGATTTTTCTCTGAAAGCAGTATGTTAGCAGTCAACATGCTGACTTCTGTACAAATGGTAATGCATCACTGCCCTTGACTGCAGTCACGTCTTGGGTCACTCCAGGCAACAATTTATTCCTACTGTAGATTTGGTCTGTCTACAGGAGACCACTTTACTGTTGTAGAAAGCATGTGTCAGATCCTGGAAGGTGCTGCTCTAATCAACCTCTACTTCTAACAGGGGCCAGGCTTCTGTTCTGAACCCTTCCTTGTAGGCTGTTCTTGTCATCAGTGTTGGCTCTGACTTGAGCAGGGCAGAGAGCTGGAAGGTGTCAACCAGCAATGGCTGGGTTTCTAAACACCCAGCCATGTGCAAGTGGGGCGAGGCAATATGGGAGAGGTGTTGGGCAGACACACTGCTGCTTGGAACAGCCACTCTCTGTGTGGCAGAACCAGGGACTTGGCTTATAGTGCGGAGCCACAGCAAAACCTGTTAATTGGCATCCTCTGCAGTTTTGCAGCAGTTCCTTGGGAAAGCTCTTCACTGCATCTTTCCCTGCTTGAAGCTTAGCATTCGTCTTAATTTCTAGACTCTCTTGAACAGTAGTTTGCCTTGAGCAGTCTTGGACCTCTTTCTGTACAAGTTTTCTTGTGTGAGGACAGCATGAAATTGTTGTCTTGTTGATCATAGCTGCTTTGGTCTCAAAATTGGTCTAGCAGCTATGTCAAACATCACTTTGTGAACATCCAAAAATAACCCCCAATTCAGGGTATGCTTTGCCTTTTGGTTTTGTGAAAATCAGAGTGTGGATCACCTTTCTTCTCTGTGGTTACTCTCTTCTTAAGTTTTTTTGAGACAATTCTTGCAGCACTTTCTCTTCCTAAGAAAAACCCAGAGTATTCAGTCCCTCTGAAAAGGGTTATTGCCAGAACAGAACTCTAGCAAAGAGTGTTTCACAGTCAGAGCTGTCATGTGACCATTAGCAGTTGTATCCATCCATGGTAATTGTAACTGATGTGCTCAGAATCATAATTGAGACATTTGTCTTGCTCTGTTTATAGCTACACCACCAAATGGCAGTTTTAACTCTTTGTTTTCAAGTCTTAAAAACAAGGCAAAAATTCCTCTGGCTGCACCCATGCTGTAAATCAGTACATGTTGCTATCTGCTGAATGCGTATTCCACAGTTGTCTTCACCTAGCAGTTAATCTGGAGTTTTGAAACAGCATCAATCTCAGACACAGGCTTTTACAACTGTTTACTGAGGTTTTGAATAATTTGATCATATAACAAAACTTCTTACATGTGTCTATAATCCTTTCAAAGTACTTCCCAGTATTAGCTGTTGAAATGATCTTCCTGCACTAATAATTCCTGATACTTGACTTACCCCTAGTAACAGCTTCAACTAATGCGTGGGGTTTGTGTGTGGGGGTTTGTTTTTGTTTGTTTGTCATTAACTGTGCTAGTTGAGGGTCTGTCATGTGCTAGGGGCAAATGAGAGGAAAGAGCAATCAGTACTTCATATGCTTGACCTTTATCTACAGCTCATGATAATTTTTATCTGCTTTTCTTCAGTCTTGGTTCAAGACAACAAAGGCTTACTAGAATTATTCTCACAGTTAAGAATTCTGTCAGCCTTCTAGCTCCCTATAAAACCACCCGAAAAATACTTTCTGTGCATGTGTGTGCTTATACACAACAGTGTGCGTATACACACACATATATGAAATTGTCCTTTTCATGTGCACAGTCTACAAAAGCAGTCATGAATCTAAACATGCTTTTTTATTTAAAAAAAAAAAAAAAAGCTTTTGTCTGCTGCCTTCCCTTGTAGGACAGTGACTTGAAGCAGTACTGGATGCCTGACAGCCAGTGCAAAGAATGCTATGACTGCAATGAGAAATTCACCACCTTCCGGCGAAGGCACCACTGTCGACTTTGTGGGCAGATCTTCTGTAGTCGATGCTGCAATCAGGAAATCCCTGGAAAATTCATGGGCTACACAGGTAGGGTTTATCTGTTGGGAAGCAGAACATTCTCTGTGTGCTCAGCTCTGTTTGGACTACTGCATTTTAGATTTTGGCATCTGCTAGAGAATCCTGTACAAGTCTCTAGTGGGCTTAGAAATAAGCAAAAAGAATCACAGGACCTAATTCTACCAATTTCTTCAAGGACAATGGTGGATTGTGTCATGCGTGCTTATTTTTACCAACACTACATCCGTGATGAGAAAATAAATATGGCCACTATTTAACAAGGATGTTCACTACAAAAAAGTGTGCTGAAGTAAAAGCTGCTCTAAGTAATGGTAGTTTTAAAATGTAATGAGCCACATGTTCTAATTGAGGGTGAGGGAAACTGTCAAATACCGATTACCAAACTCCTGATGGAGGTAATGATTTCCAGACATCAGCTGGTATGTCATATCTGACTGGCATGTTGTACCATGATTTCAGTGTGCACATGTGCTCTCTCTCCCTGCCCCTGCAACCTGTGTGTTTCATCAATCATGTGTTACACATCATTTGACTTGGAGAAATTCCCTGAGTGTATAATTGTCTGGGGTTTTGCTCTTTAAGGGAATATGAGAAGTAGACTTAAACATGCAAAGAGGTTTTGAAACAGGAAATCCTTCTTTTCCCACTACTACACACTTCTGATCCTGTAGGAACAGAGTACTATTTGTTCCTGTTCACTTACGCTCTCTGGTTCCCCTTTCCATAGGGGATCTCCGAGCCTGCACCTACTGCCGCAAAATAGCCTTAAGCTATGCACACTCCACAGACAGTAACTCAATTGGAGAAGACTTAAATGCTCTGTCAGATTCTGCGTGTTCTGTGTCGGTGCTGGATCCTGGCGAGCCGCGCACACCAGTTGGGAGCCGTAAAGCTAGCCGCAACATCTTTTTGGAGGAGGATCTAACCTGGCAAAGGTAAAATGAATGGCTTCATGCTGAGCTCCAGATTCTTAACTGTGTTTTCAGCCTGACACCTGCCTAGACAAAAGCTGGTAGTTTCCATCTAGGAAACTTAGAAATATATCTCCTGTAAAAATCATCTAATCCTGTGCTTGCTTCTAGTATTCTTCTCTTCAGGCTGAAATGTGCAAACTTTTCTAGTGGAGTTTTAAATTATTTGCAGTTCTTCCTTTAACCTATTGAAACAGTGATTCTATAGCTGTGACAGCAGGCTTTTAGCTTTGGAGTTTAAAAAGACAAAACCAAAAACCACCCTCTCTAACCAGCAATGTATCAAAAGGCAAGTCAATGTAACACTGTTGCTTTACCTATCAGATTTGGATTGGGGAGAGAATATAACAGATGCTGTCTGTGTAAATAAGAGAGAAATGGTGTAAGTAACTGCCTGTTTCAACTAAAGTGGGATTGAAAGGACACCTATAAAGGTTCTCTGATCTCCTTTCAAAGCATGTTTCTTCTTAATGCTCTTGAATGATGGGATCTTTATTTTGGAAGGTGGATAAAAGAAACTATACTACTTCTCAAGTGGTAATGCAGGTTAATTTCCGAGGACCTTGATTTAATTAAATGTAGGGGGAGGAAGAAATAATCAGATGTGGTGTTTGTGCTTAATAGAAGTACAGGCAGGTGTGAAACTACTGAGGAGGTCTTGAGTCAGAGCCTTTCTTTAACTGAGGGGTAGTGTTAGTGACATGTGCCCTTCTCAGCAGATCACTTCTAGTGATTCTGATAGTGTTAAAAGAAAAACCTCGAAAACAACTGTCTTCAGAAAATGCCCTGACTCTTGCATATTGCTTTTCGGAGTATGGTGCTCCTATATGGAAGCAATTAAATAATCAGTTTTAGGCCTAAATAAAGTATTTTATTTTTATATGTTTAATTTAATATTATGGTCATCTAAAGCAGTAATGTTGTAATGCTTAGGTTAAGTACTACCAAATTTTGAATTAGGGAATAAGTATGTGCGCTCGGAATGCTTCTCTGCAGGTGTACAAAAAATAGAAGATATCATTAATTCTGTCTTTGGATGGGTTCTTAGTATCTTTATTATGGCAATACAACAGCTTGTAGACATGAACATGTAAAGAGACTATTTATATCTTTATTTTGGGCAGCATGTAGCACTCAAGTATAATACTGCCTATTCTTGAAAGTCTGATAACTCTTTCTATATTAGAACACTTAGTCTTGTTGGGAGACACTGAGTAAACATGGGCTGCTTCTGTGTGCGAGATTGAGATCAGGTATTTTGTTGTTGCTTTAGGAGGATTAAAATTTTCTTCAGCACTTGCTGCTCTTAAAATGTAAAACTTTGCAGTGGGCTACAGTGCTTTTTTTTAATACTGTATTTGGTAAGTTCCTCATTGACCTTCAGAGGTTTAAACTCAAGACATTGAACTTAAATGGCACCACAGTGGAAAGTGGCAACTCACAGCTTCATAATGGAAGCAAAGTTATTTTTCTAATATGTGGCTTCTGTGTGAGAAGTAGTTTGCTTCAGAAGAAAACTTTCGACTTGAATCTCTTCCCAAAATAATGTAACTGAGATAAGGCTTTTGCCTCTCCTGCTGTCATATGCTGCAAAGCAGTGAGAAAAGCATTTAGGTATTTACTTGTCTGATGTTGCTCTGCTTTTGGAGCAGTTGGAATGCAGAGGCATGGGCTCCTGCTTTAACTAACTTGAAAGGCTGTGTCCTTTTAAAGTGAAGGAGTGGTGTACTCTGGGCAAGTACAGCTACTCAGGCAAAGTTGTATTATGTACGTTTTCTCATGAAGAGTATTTCTCGTGCTAGTAACATGTCTGCATCACAGAGCACAGGCAGTAGGGCTGTATCAGTTGGAGTGTAGTGGCTTATATCTGATACAGTTTTGCCAGTAGGAATGTATATTCATGGTGTATGAACATCTGCTCTCCTTCCTCCTGGGGTGGAAGGAAAAGGAGGGCAAGGGTGATAGTGATCAGGTTAAACAATTACAGAAGGTTGTCAGGCTATCTTGGTAAAAGCTGTCTAGCAAGAGCTATAGACAGCATTGCTTGCGTTGCAAAGATGATGCGTTGGGGAGATGGGGCAATGCCTCTACCTCCAAAGCATGGAATAGCAGCCTGTAAGGAAGGAGGATGTGTAAAAAAGGGATATAGGGGAATAGGGCAGGAAGGCAGGATAATACAAGTGGGAAGAGACTGTATTGTCCAAGACTTAAGTCTGAAGGGAGAAGACGAGAGCACGGTCTTCCAGATATCATTGGCCAAGAGATGGGGAAAGATTTCCCTATTCCCTTGTTGATTTAACAATCATGGGTGTGAATGAGAGGTAACGTTATAATTAATGGTATTTTAATTCCAGCTGTTCTGATGCTGCTGCATGTGGCAGATCTGTCAAATATCTGTAACATGCTCCTTTTCCTTGCAGTTTGATTCACCCAGACTCTTCAACTACCACATTGTCTGCACGCCTTGGGTCTGTCCAGGAGGATGCAGGCAAGTCGCCAGCAAGGAACAGGTAAACTAATCATATCTGACTATTTTCTGTTCTGGATGCACTCCTAGCATACACTTCACTGTAAAGCCTGTATTTTGGGGCTTGTTTTCACTGAGCGTGCTGTTTCATGTCTAAAATAGGACCCCTCATTACCCATATGTAATGGTAAGGAAAGACCATCTATGTACATATTCATATTAATAAATA